TACAAACAAAATCAAGGTGTGCATTTTTGCATTGTTCTAAAATTAAATGAACCCTGAAATCATATGATACAGACTGAACATTGATTTGTCTTATTTTCCATCTGAAAAATTTTGCAAGTTGAGCTTTTTAGCAAATTTTTTTTTTGTTGATAAGTCTAGTCAGCCACCAAACCTATCTTTCAGAAGAAACAAATATATATATATATATATAAAGAAATATAGTCTTAAGGTGTGCTATATTTATGGAATAAAGTGCTCAATATCAGAGATAGAGCATGTGTAAATATAAAGTCATGCATATGCAATTGCATATAGCATGAAACAGACTGTCGCCTCTAAGTGTTGACTTCTATGTTCACTTTTATATATATATATATATATTTTAATCAGTCTCAACCCATGCAAGTCAGTAAAGCTACTAAGACACTAGGGATTACAGGGTGTGGTGGATTAGGAATAGAAACATTAATAAGGAGCAAGAAGAGAAAATGAGTAATCAGGTGGACAGTGGATAGCGATTGATATTGCAATTAAATTTTTGCAAATTAATCTTGACTGGAAAGCATAGAGCCGAAAAAGAGTTCCACAAGCAAGAAGTGCAAGAAAAGAAACTGCTAGCATAGAACTTATGCTTATATCTAGCCAGTTCAACTGTAATTTGATAAGTTCTTGACACCAGTTTAATACTGAAGTTAAATTAAAAAAGTCTAGGTGCTATAGTGAAGAGCTCATCTGAACAATTATCTTGAAAGTATTTATATAAAAGTCACTAAGAGGTAACTTTACGGTGGTGGGAAAGTGACTGAATCTGAGGTGCCAGATCAGGATTAATTATATATATACATATATATATATATATATATATATATATATATATATATATAGAGAGAGAGAGAGAGAGAGAGAGAGAGAGAAATAATTAGGAAGATTTGAAATAATCACAATTAAGTAATTCATTGAGTCTAGAAGAAACCTCAACAGAATGCAGAAAGCATTGGACGGCCATTTCATCCTATATTTGGGACGCATCAGCAGTGCGCATCCACTACTGAGAATTGAAACCCAAACAGTTACAATAGAAGGCAAATGCCATACCAACTGTAACAACGGTTCTCAGTGATGAAGAGGTAACAAATTAGACTCAATATAGCGCCGCTCGATCACAAATCCTGTGGTGGAACTTCTCCGAGTTTCTCTTTTACCCATAGGACTGTGCCTCCCCCTGAGCTACGACTACTATCCCCAAGCCGCTCACTCCAGGGCATTAGAAGCCGGTTCAAGCAAGGATATACAGAGAGAAATAATTAAGAGGATTTGAAATAATCATAATTAAGTAATTCATCAAGTCTAAAAGAAACCTCTTCTAGACTCAATGAATTACTTAATTATGATATATATATAAACATATATATATATATATATAGTACAGCTGTCACAAAATTTCTATCACTGAGCAACATGAACATGGACTGACTCGACTTGAGATTTTTAAAGATAGAAAACAACTTGGAATCAATAGAATGTTTATCAAAGGGACAATCAATCAATTCAACAAAATTCCCTACATCAAAGATAGACCAAGATTGGGACATCCTCACACCCCCAGAATGCCAAAACTCCTTAAACATGTGCTTGAAAAAATCAGGAATAATACAAGAAAATCAATGAGGCAATTTGCTAAGGATGCTGGAACATTGGAGAGAATCATGCGGATGCTCTGTTGAAATGGAGATGTCACCCCTACAAAATAACCAAGTGACAGCTTCTTTTCAGCAGCCACAATGAAAAAGAGGCTTCAAAGAAGAAAGCAGTTGCTAAAATGGATTTGTGATGGCAAGCTACAAAACATCATCTTCACTGATGAGGAACTGTTCACTATTGTATAGACTTTTAATCATCAAAATGATCGTTTTCTTTAAACAAGTCATCAGTCAGTTCCTGCTGCTTCAGGAAAATACCTCAGAACCCAGAACTGTCTATATCATTGTCACAGTTCCTGTTACAACAGATGGCTATTTGTTGCTGCTTGTAATAAATGTAAATTAATCTTCAAAGTCCCTGTTTGCCAAGAGAATGAGGCACCACATTGCATCTAACAACTTTGGCTCTCAAGATTATTTGTGGCTCTGTATATTAAAGCATATTAAATAAGTGTAAAGTCTATATCCCCACTTCTTCAATCAATTTGAGGTATTAACATCCTTGGCTGATAAAGTTCAATGTTTCAGCCCTAAATTCTCCTTAAACTCTACTCATGACTCATCTGGAGTGTCCCTACCTAACTTGTCATTTAGAACTGTGTCTCTGTTGGGTGAACTCCTATATTTTCTGCTATCATATCTAACCTGGATCCCCACAAACTGTATAAGTATCTCACGGCCTCTTGCTTTTCTGCCTGCTGGAATTCTTCAATTGTTGTTAATTTTTAAAACCCCTGGTGAGCCATTTGACCCTTCCATCTATCCGCCTATCTACCTTTTTTTTTGGAAACTCCTAGAGGCCCTAATCAATGCTAAATTGGAACACAGGGACTTTTTTTCAGACAAACAATATAGCCTTCATCCTCCAGGCCAACTGATTCCCCAAGGACACATGGCACATAGCACGGTGGATAAAGGCGTTAGTTTGATCCAGTGACAGGACCCAAAGAGTGTAAGTTCAATACCTGGTTAAGGTGGTGAAGAACTTTGAGAGGGGAATTAACAGAAGATAACTGACATTCATTAGATATGGCACGTGGAACTAGAACAGTCTATCCCAGTGAACAAAATAAAGGGTTCAGTTCAACATTCCAACCACCTGAAGAAGGTCGGAGCATACAACGGCCGAAACGTTGTGATAAACATGACAACAAAGATGAGGACAATAATCCGAATTATGTAAATAGTGTACATAATACCTCATCTCAGAAATATAGACAGATACTGATACAGTCTTTCCTAACGAATTATGAAATGAAAGTAATACTGAACAGCCACTCTTCCAGTTCCTTTCATACTAATTCAGGTGTCTCCCAGGCCTCCATCTTGGATCCTACTTTATTTTTCATTAATCGTGGCTCTGTCATAGCATATCAAATAAGCATAAAGTCTCTATTCCTCCCCTCTACAATCAGTTTGAGGTGTTAACATCCTCTGCTGATAAAACTGAATGTTTCACCTGTAATTTCTCCTTAAACTCTACTCTTGACTCATCTGGAGTATCCCTGCCTAACTTCTCACTTTGAATTGACTCTGTTGAGTGATATGCATATAACCCTTTTATGGTTTTTGCAATCATCTCAAATCTGAATTCCCACAATCATGTGAACCTGATGGTATCTCTATAATAGCCATTAAGAAGTGTGCTCCTGAACTGGCTCCTGTTCTCTCTAAACTGTATAATAAATGCCTTGTTGACTCCTGTTTTCCTGCCTGCTTGAAGTCATCATCTATTGTTCCAGTTTTTAAGAACTCTGGTCAACCATCCAACCCTTCTAATTGTCACCCTATTAGCATTTTACCTCTTTTCAGAAAACTCCTTGAGGCCATATTCCATGCTGAATTGGCTAAGCATCTCTCATCACAGGGCCTTTTTTCAGATATGCAATGTGGCTTTCATTTCTCCAGCTCAACTGCTGATGTACTGACAATAGCTGCAGAAAGAATCTATCATGTTCTAAATAAAACCAATAAAGACCAGGCTGTAGTTTTGGACATCTCAAAAGCTTTTGACAATGTTTGGTATACAGGTCTTCTCCACAAGCTGAAAAGTTAAGATGTCTCTGGATATATTTTTGAACTGATCTAGTCTTTCCTATCAAATCATGAAATGAAAGTTATCCTGAATGGCCACTCGTCTAGATCCTTTTGTGCTAATGCATGACTTCATCCTTGGTCCTACATTTTAATTTTCATTAATGACCTTCTGGATGACATCAGCTCTTAATTTGGTATCTACGCTGACACAACCATTTATTCCTGTAAGGCTGATCAGTTTGATAAGGTCAAAATAGCAGCTGATGTCTAAAATGACCTCAAAACCATCGCTAGTTGGGGCAAAAGATGGCTTGTTAATTTGAATGCCTCCAAAATTAAACTTCTCTCCATTAATAACCTGAAAGAACACTCTGTGCCTTCCATCAGTATGGCTGATGCTAACCACCAGGAATGTGACTCATCGTGCCTTCTCAGGCTAATGTTCTCAGATGTCATGTGAGACAATTTTACTCTCCAGAATCTATCATACATATCTGTAAGACTACCATTTATCCATGCATAGAATATTGCTATCATATATGGTTCAGTGCTCCTGCTATTTACCTTCTGCCCTCTGATAAAATCCAAAGAGAAATTAGCAATATTACTGGTCCTGATCTGACATCTTGGCTTCAGTCGCTTTCCCATCACAAGGTTGCCTCCCTGTGTCTTTTCTATAAATACTTTCATGATAATTGTTCAGATGAGCTCTTCAATGTGGTACCTAGACATTTTGAATTTGGAAACAGTACTATACTGGAATTGAGATCTCATCATTTTATAATTAAGCTTGCTAGATGTAGCCATAAATTCTATGCTAACAGTTTATTTTCTTGCACTTCTTGCTTGTGGAACTCCCTTTCAGCTACATGTTTTCCTCTCAACTTTATTCTCCAAAAGTTTAATGCAATCTCAATCGCTATATATTGTTCTCTTGATTACTCTTCCCTGTCATTAATAATGTTTCTGTTTCTAATTCTTTCACACCTAGTAACCTCTTGTGTCTTTTTGGCTTTACTGCCTTGCTTGGAGTGAAGTCAATTTTAAAATATATAAATGAAAGTGAGATGAGCGATAAAGAGAGAAATGAATAGATTCAATCAGATAGGTAAAAAGATGTCAAACTATATTTTAATATGAACAAAGTGAGACAGATGAGAACAGACTGATAAAAATAGAATGAAATAGATATGAATAGAATGAGATAGATACATACAAGTAGAATGAGATAGATAGGTACAAATAGAATGGTATAGATAGATACTAAAAGAATGAGATAGATAGATACAAATAGAATGGTATAGATAGATAGATACTAATAGAATGGTGTAGATAGATACTAATAGAATGAGATCGATACATACAAATAGAAAGATAGATAAATATGAATAGAATGAGATAGATATGAATAGAATGAGACACATCGTTACAAATAAAATGAGATAGATATATATGAATAGAGTGAGATACATAGATAGATACAATTAGAAGGAGATATATATGAACAGTAATGAGATAGATACAAACAGAATGAGATAGATAGATAGATAGATAGATAGATAGATAGATAGATATGAATAGAATGAGAAAGATAGATATGAATAGAATGAGATAGATAGATAGATAGATAGATAGATAGAATAGAATGAGATAAAAAGATGCATATAGAATGAGATAGATACAAATAGAATGAGGTACATAGATGCAAATAGAATGAGATAGATAGATACATAGATAGATATGAACAGAATGAGATAGATAGATAAATACAAATAGAATGAGATATATACGAATAGAATGAGATACATAGATATAAATAGAAAGAGATAGATTGATAGATAGATACGAATAGAATGAGATAGATATTAATTGAATGAGATATATAACAGTATGAGATAGATACAAATGAAATGAGATAAACAGATAGATAGATACGAATAGAATGAGATAGATACAAATAGAATGAGATAGATAGATACTAATACAATGAAATAGATACAAATTTTATGATATGAATAGAATAAGATAGATACAAACAGAATGCAATACATAGATACAAATAAATGAGATATATAAGTAGAAATAGAATGAGAGAGATACAAAAAGTATTAGTTAGGTAGATACGAATATAATGTGATAGATAGATTGATACGAATAGAATGAGATACATAGATACAAATAAAATAAGTAGATAGACTGATAGACAGAGAGATAGAATAAAAAAAAAGGAAATTAAATGAGAATTTAAGAAAAAAAATAGAAAATTCTGGAAAGTTAAAGATTGAGTTTAGAGTCAAAGGTTACAACAAAAATAACAATAAAGAAGTGAAAATTATATCTTTTATCACTTTGTAGCTACCTGATGGCGTTCCTAAAAAGAATCACCACAAACCATACCATTCCACTAGACACCCAAGGGTTAGGTCAGATATTTCAGAATTTAAAGGAATACTCTTGATGGTGATACCAATGTATCAACTTACAACTATCAGTTGCCATGGAATTTCAAGAGCCCTTGACTCTTAGCCCTGCCCATCCTGTCCACCCAATGAAGTAAAGCATAAAATGAAGAAATTGATGGACTGAGGCTGGGTGGGATAGTTAGGATAATTTAATCTGAAAGACCCCTTCTCCTAACACCTGGAGTATGAGTTCCAGTTCAGATGGAATAGTTCATCCATGTTGTCCATCTCATGTCAGCTATGGATGTGACTCCAGTTGAAAAACGTGTTCAGTTCACAGAAGTCAAATTTGTTTAGTATATTTATTTGGGCTCCTTCTTAAAAATTTAAATTCTCTCTATCTATCTTGTATGTGTGTCTTTCCTTCACTTTTATATAAGGAAAATCATTGAAATTGTGAAAACTATATAGAAATTTGTATATAATTATCTCACATATGTACATATATATGTTTCACAGTTCTTTAAAAGGGCTGTGGTGAAATAATTTATTACATGGAACCTTAAAGTGGTCTGTTTTTATTTAAATTATTTCCTCTGGATTTACATTGAGCTCTGTGGATTTTATCCTCCTTAGGTTTTCCCATACGGATTACCTAGTTTTTCATAAACTAAATATATATATATATATATATATATATATATATATATATTTTATATATATATATTTATTAGTGTTTATCTTTATATATAACTATATATCTATATATACACGACTACAGATATACAGGTGTGATGGTTAAATTTTCCCCATTTTACATTTTTAATTTCATGCATGCATGTTTTTTGTTTTTGATTTTGTCAACTGCACCCTATAGTAGAGCCAGTTGGGCACCATCTATGAGAAAAAGTGCACCATGATGCAATTCACTCCACCAGAAATTTGGAAATGGCATGCTTGAAATTCGGAAGCTCCAATATGAACATTACAGTATTTTGGGGTGATAGGGTGTTAATCTAATGACAGTGCAGAGGATTTGGAAGGAGATGGGTGAGTCTAATGGTGATTACAAAAGAAAGGCAGCTTGGAAAACAGACTCTGATAAGAAAATAAGAAAACTCCCAAATTTGTTGTTGAGGCCTTCAGACTCAACATGGAGTTTGTGTTTGTATGTTTCTATATTTATATGTATACATATTTAAATATATTTTAATAATTACATATCCATAAAAATTTCCTTATATACATATGCAGTGTGCAATGGATAAATTTTCATCTAAAGTATGCAAAAATGAAAATGATGATATCTCATTTTAACACTTTAATTAATTTAATTTTTCCCAAAATTACACAAAATTTCCGATTAACACCAATATATATATATATATATATATATATATATTGCATATGTTTTGGCAGAATGTTTTCATTAGGTCATGTCTCATTAAATAATTTAGTTTTGTCTACTTATTTTCAGTAGGATCCTCTCATATTCAGGGACAAGCTTCTTAGTATCCTTACTAAAGGAAGAGAGAAAATTACCACATTGATACATATTCATTTATTCAAAGTTCGTTCGACATTAGCACAATGTTATTGTCAGGGTGTTTTTTTTTCTAAGACAAAATTGTGGTGTTCATCTGAAAATTAATTTATTTTAATTGTGAAGTGAATGAACGCTAAATTTATGCAGTGTGCTGTTTAATTTTATGTAAGTTTGAAATGTCTATTTGTTTTTATTTTTTTTTAAATCTATTAATTAAAACCTAGATATTTTAAACTATCTACTACAAACATTTTTAAAAATTTGTGCTGTATTCATAATTAATTTTATTGAGGGTTGGTTTAAATTTTTTAATATAGTTAGCATCAGGAATTTTAAATTTATGCTTATTATTTTCATGAAAAATATAGATATATTTTCAACAAGAATTATATTAAATTATGAATATGAAGAGGTATGCTGTTGTAAATAAGACGTATATTAATGAAAACATGCTGATAAAAATATATATATTGGTTTTTATGTTATATACATATTAATTTTATCTTGATACATATATATCAGTATATTATTTTTATCTCACACACACACACACACATATATATATATATATATATATATATATATATATATAGGAGGCACAGTGGATTAATGGATAGCAGCTTGGATTGAGGAATCAGAGAGCCAAGTTTGAATTCCAGTCAAATCCATTGCATTCACATACGTGCTAATATCCTAGAGAAAGGTGTGAATCTTCTTCTTCTCCCTCCAGCTATGGGTAAATAGCAGGACAGACTGGGTTCTATAGACTTTGATGGCAACTGGTCTAGGAGAAGGACAACTCTGAATTCAAAACCTGTGGAGTGTCGTTTGGGGACTTTATGGCACATAGTGCACCAGGTCTCTGCATTCAGATATTCAAAAAGTGTGTATGGTCCTGCACAAAACCTTCACCACTCTAATCAAATCTGATGTGCTGTTGTTGGGCTGTCAGTTTCCTGGGAACTGATCTGCTTGACCCTCATACATCGTATTCAATGGGAGAGTTGAGTATATATATACATATATATTAATTTTTACATATATATATATGTATATTAGTTTTATCTTACATATATATATATCTATATCAAGATAAAAACTAATATGTATATATATATATATTAGTTTTTATCTTTTATATATATATTTTAGTTATATATATATACATATATATATTAGTTTTATACATGTATATACCTATTAGTTTTATACATATATATATATTAGTTATACATTTATATATATATTAGTTATATACATATATATATATATTTATATATATATATACATATATTAATTTTATATACATATATATTTATGTATGTATATCAATTAATATATATATATATATATATATATATATATATATATATATAATGTTATATTCATTCAAACCTTTCATTGAATGATATAGACCTATATATTTCTTCCAATCCTTATTTTGCAAAATCTCTCTTTCTCAACATCTTTCTCCTAGACTTTCTTTTTTTTCTTGTTTCACTTAAATAATGTTAGTTCTATTAACCCACCTAATAACACATATATACTCTTAAAAATCACTCTAAAATACACTTGTATATAATGGCTTAGTTCCACAATAGTTTGCAATGTGATACAAATTGACACACTTGAGGTATACAAAGCCAAAATTTTCTTTATTTTAAAGATATCTAGTGCCATCAAACTTCTGATATCCCTTAAAAACCTACATTGGTTTGCTGAGTATGGGAAAACACAATTATTCAATTTAACTACACAAGTAAGATATTTCCCTGTTTCTGTATTGTTGGGAGGTCTTCCCTTTTTAGTTAATGCTTTTATCTCTAATCTAAAATGTCTACAAGTGATTCTTTAACAATCTTGAAAAAAATTAGAGATCAAGAAAGGAAATGAGAGTGAAAAAAAGGAATGTCTATGAAAAAAACCAAAAGAAAGAAGCAGACATTGATTAGAACCTTCTCTTTTACTCTTTGTTCCTTTTCTTCTTCTTTCTTCTCTTTATTATCTTTCTTACTCTCTGCTTTTCCCCTCACCTCTCTTTTCTTCTTTTTCTTTCTATTGCTTTTCTACTCTCTTTTTTACCCACTTTCTCTTCCTTCGTCATTCACTTTCTATATTTTCCTGGGGGGAGGTCACCTTCTTTGCCTCCTTTCCTCTTCTCTTTCATCACTCCCTTACTTTTACAACTACTTCCCTCAGTTTATATTCCTCTTTCTGTTCCCAACAATCTCTTGTTACCTCTCTTGGTCTTTTAACCTTTCACCTCTTTCAAGATTTATCATACCTTGTTAACATTCTTTGTCTTTCAATCTCTCTATCTTTCAACTTCCCTCCTCCTCTCTCCATGTCTTCATTCATTTCTCTTTTTCTGTTTCTCTCCATCTTTCTACCTTCCTCCACTTATCTTCTCTTCCTCTGTTTCTCTTTGTCTTCCTACCTTCCTCCTTTTCTCTTTCTCTCTCTCTCTTTTTTTTTCCTTTTCGCTTTCTGTTTCTCTCTGTGTTTCTACCTTCCTGCTTTTCTTTTTCTCTGTTTCTCTCTGTCTTTCTAGCTTCCTCCTTTTCTCTTTCTCCATTTCTCTGTCTTTCTACATTCTTTCTCTTCTCTTTCTCTGTTTCCCTCTGTCTTTCTAGCTTCCTCCTTTTCTCTTTCTCTGTCTTTCTAATTTCCTCTTTTTCTCTTTCTGTTTCTCTCTGTCTTTCTACCTTCCTCCTTTTCTCTTTCTCTGTTTCCCTCTGTCTTTCTACCACCTTTTCTCTTTCTCTGTTTGTCTCTGTCTTTCTACTTTCCTCCTTTTCTCTTTTTCTGTTTCTGTCTTTCTACCTTCCTCCTTTTCCCTTTCAATGTTTCTCTGTCTTTCTACCTTCCTCCTTTTCCCTTTCTGTTTCTCTCTGTTTTACAACCTTCCTCCTTTTCTCTTTCTCTGTCTTTCTCTTTGTCCTTCTTCCTTTTCTCTTTCTCATTTTCTCTGTCTTTCCAACTTCTACCTTCTCTATAAATCTTTTTAATCTACCTTCTTCACCCAACCCATATCTTTCAACTTCCCTGCTTTTCTCTCTCTTTCAACCTCTCCCTTTCACCCTCTCCACCTTTTTCAACTTTTCTTTCTTGATCTTTGAAACTTCCTCCTCCTCTGTCTTTCAACCTCCCTCATTCCCTTTTACCCTCTCATATCTCTTTAAACCTCTTCTTTGTATCTCTTTCTCTTCATGTTCTTAAACCTCTGCCCCTGTCTTTTCCACGACAAAGAAGTATTTTCATTAGTAAATAGTTTCTGCTACTTATGTTCACAGCATCTGCATTGTCTCCTCCTGCCCCATGCTATGATAGAGACTATCACCTTTCACGTTCAATAGAGGCCTTTGATAAAATAAAACCCTGTATTGCTACCTCTAAACTCTCGTTCTCCTCTCACAGATGGATACAAGAACACACACACACATCCTCCTCTGCTTTAATCTATAGTCCTCTTCTGCCTCAATTTCTTCTACATTCTTCTCTCTTACATTTCATTTTATAGATTAAATTGAGAATCAATCACCTACAAAATGCTTTTTCTTTAAATACCATGTCTTTTTAGGTGATCATGGCTCTCCACTGACTCCTTTATCTGTGAATTGCCATGACTTCCTGGGAAAGATAACAGAGTGGTTTTTCTATTACTTTTGGCAAGGTTTTGAATTCAAAGTTGCCTTTCTCTTAGACTGGCTGCCAACCAAAGCTAAAGAATCCAGTCTACCTTTAACTAAGGGAAAAGAAATGAATTCATGCTTTTTCCAAAGTGAACGAACAGACTGAGCTGATAGCTGTTACACTACCTGCACATACTATTTTATCTAAAAACATGATCTTGGTAGCACTACATTTTTAACTTAGTACTTTTTAATATTAATCATTAATTTTCAATCCAAATTAAACATTCAATAGCTTTAATTTCTTTGACCATCTGTTCACTTTTTCTTAATTTTTAAGGTATTTTAAACACATGAACAATGTGTACATTATTTACATTTGGACTATTGACCTCATCTTTGTTGTTATTAACATAATGTTTTGAACATTTAGCTCCCCAGTCTTCAGGTGTTTATTAGTTTAGGTAACCTCCAGGGATTTTCAAATGGAAGACTTCAACAAATGTTAATAATATTATATCATTGAGTAAGTCACCAGATAAAGGGTGAGCTATGTAAGAAAGAGGCACGGTGGAATAATGGATAGCAGTTCAGATTGAGAAATCAGAGAGTCGAGTTCGAATTCCAGTCAAATCCATAACATTCACTTACGTACTAATACCCTTGGGAACGGTATGAATCCTCTTCTTCTCCGCCCCCAGCTATGAGTAAATAGCAGAACAGACCGGGTTCTATAGCCTTGGCAACTTGTCTACTGCAGAAAGAAATAGCAACCTACTGCCGAAAAAAATCTGCCTCGTCAGTCATGTATCGAAAGATGCATGATTGCCTAACCATGTGGCACATAACTGACTGACTGACTTTCCAGTTGAATTCATTACATTCACTTATGTGCTAATACCATTGGGAAAGGTATGAATCCTCTTCTTCTCCTGCCATGGGTAAATAGCAGGACAGACTGGGTTCTACAGCCTTGGGTGTCAACTGGTCTAATGTAGAAAGAAATAGCAACCTACTTTGGGAAATAAATCTGCCTCATCAGTCATGTATTGAAAGATACATGATTGCCTAAGCATGTATCACGCATGGCATATAATTGATGTAAGAAAGAAATATTCTCCCATTTGCCTTTCTTCCCATTATGGATATGATATAATAACATCTTATTCACATACTAGCTAAAAGAAAAGAAATGATAAACATGCTTTGTTCTTAGAGAGAGTTTTATTCCACTAAGTCATATACAAAATTATATATACATATTTGTATTTATATCACACAGAAAAGTGAAAAGAGAGTTCCACAAGTGAGAAGTGCAAGAAAAGAAACTGTTATCACAGAATGTACGGTAGTCAATTCAACTGTAAATTCATGAAACCTTGCTGACAATTTAGTATTGTATTTGTTGCATCGTCAAGGTGAATGATACACAGAGAAGAATGAGTGCTTAATATATTTATTCAGCACCAGTATCTGGTGCTAATGGATACATACAAAAAACACAGAACAATAAGTTACAAAATAATTAACAAAACAACTTACAAGGAATAAAGGAAGGTCAAATGCTGCATAGTCAAATGAAGATCAGTCCAAATATTAATCAGCTTAGTATCAACTTATTAATCAACTGTTGAAGTCCTTAATTGTAGACTATTTAACACTATGATCCAGGCCATCTGGTAGAGTGCTGAAGGGGTGCTAGCTACTCTACAACAGTACTTAAATTCATAAAGTCTAGACACAATAGAATCTCTAAATATATAGCAGAGACACCGGACAATATATGGTAGCAATATTCTAAGCATGGAGGAATGGTAGACTTATAGATAGACAAGATAGATTCTGGAGAGATAAATTGTCTAGTATGACACAGTAAACCAACTTTTTTAGCAGCTGACCAAGCAATGGATTCAATATAATATTTTTCACTTCATGTCAGCATAGATTGTTATCCTGAGAAGGCACTAATTTTTCTGAATTCAATTTGAAAACTCTATTTATTGCTAAGATATGTCCAATTAAAATAATGTAATCTCTAAGATTTTCTTTTACTTTGTAACTTTGTTGTACATTTTCAGTTTTCAAGCTATTTACTGGGTACCTTTTTTCTTTAAACTAAGATGAAAATCTATCTATATCTCTGAGATGAGGTATTATGTACACTATTTACATTATTCAAGGACACATGGCAGAGTGGATAAAGGCATTGGTTAGATCCAGTGACAGGACCCAAAGAGCGTGAGTTCAATACCTGGTTAAGGCAATGGAGAACTTTCAGAGGGAAATTAACAGGAGATAACTGATAACTGACATCCATTAAAAATTGGCACGAGGAACTGAACATCCATTAAAAATGGGTTCAGTTCATTCCGACCATCTGAAGAAAGGCTGGCCAAACATTGTAATAAATATGAAAAGATGAGGAAATAGTCAATAATCTACCCATCTCAGAAATATAGACAGATGAAAGGGCCAAAACGTTGTGATAAATATGAAAAAAGATAATGGGTTCAGAAATATTCGACATTCCGAATGTAAATAATGGCCATCTCAGAAATATAGACTGGCCAAAACATTGTAATAAATATGGTGAAAAGATGAATAGGAAAATGTAAATAATCCTATCTCATATAGACAGATACTAAAGATAACAATAAATAAACATGTAAATAATGTACATAATGCCTCATCTCAGAAATATAGACAGATATTAAAGGGCCAAAACGTTGTGATAAATATGGTGACAAAGATGAGGACAATAGTCCAAACAATGTAAATAATGTACATAATGCCTCATCTCAGAAATATAGACAGATACTAAAGATGAGGACAATAGTCCGAATAATGTAAATGGTGTCAGATGAAAATGAAGTAACTATCCCCACCTGTTTTTGTTCCTTCTTTTTTAACCATTCTTCTTCAAGTTCTCTCACCAATTCCCTCTCCATCATCTCCCTACTTCCATTCTTATCAGTCTGTGCTATGTGACAGATTCTAGTCTGCAATGCACACACAGATAGAAGCATGCATACTTCATGAATACTTACATACACATGCTGATATTTTGCAGGTTTGTTTTTTAATAGACGCAATAAAAATTTATAACAAACAAGATTTTAACCACAAGACTATCCACCCGACCTCCACACAAAAAATAGAGATTAAAGGAGAAAATAGTACAACTGACAATCTTTTAATTGAAACAAAATTACAAGAAAGCATTTGAACATTATGCAATTTTTTATCATTTCATCACAAGAAAGGCAATAAAGCCCTAAGATGTAAGGGGGCTATTCAAAATGAAAGAATCTGAGAAAAAAGAGAGGGCAATAAGAGAACAGGAGTCAAGAAGACGACATTTTGAAATTTTTGAAGATCATAATTGACACAAAAACAAGGAGCTAAAAGAGAGTTCTGCATGTGAGAAGTGTGAGAAAAGAAACTATTAGAATAGAACTTACATTTACATCTAGCAATTTCAAAAGTAAATTAGTGAGACCTAACTGCCAATCTAGTATTGTGCAGCCAAGGTAACAAAATGGAAAGCTCAACAGAAAAACTAAGAAGAAAATATTTGTAGAGAAGGCACAAGGAAGCTATGCTATGGTAGAAGGAAAGTAACTGAAACTGAAATGTCAGGTCAGTGCTAATAACATTGCAGATTCTTCTTTGAAATTTGTCAAGAATCTCTAGATACACAGAAGAAGCACAAGGACAGATGTGGGAGCAATTGCCAGACTAATTCATTTGGCAGTCCCAAGTGGCATTGTAATATAAGATTAATATGCTTCAACAATTTTCTTTCTTTTTACTAAATATCACCTGATAGAAGGATCAGGAGCCACTCAAGATGGTGGAACAGGGTTTAAAAATAATGAAAAGATAGAATTTATTTAGAGCGGCAAGGGACAAGAAATTCTGGAGAGACATAATCACATAAATCCGGAGAGATTGGATTGATTTAACAGCATATCAATTCTTTATGGGTCATTTAATGCTGAAATTTTATTTTCTTGTGAGCTCTGGTAATTTTTATGTTTTCAAAAATGTTATGCTGGTATTTTTTTTTTATTTTTTTACTATGAAAATATATGGCTGGTAATTTTTTCTAATTTATTTTTGTATTTTCATGTTTTGATCCCACTTTGGGGATTCACTATTTGCCCATAGCTGGGACCCTAATAGATGCTACCACCCTATGTGAAGGTGGACCTGGAAACAACAGCAATTAAGAGGTGGTTTCATACTCCTCAAAACCTTCCAGAGGCCTTGCTGCCGGATGTAATTTATCATCATACCCACATCCTGAGGGTACACGGCACATAAAGAGAGATTGTACATCTCAGTCCATTAATAAATAACCTGAAACAAAAACAAAGAATATATATCTAGTTGAATTTGAACTGATAATTATTTTCTTTCAGATAGCCCATCAATAATAATTAGCAATCTGCCATCTAAAGCAAAAATCCTAAAAATAATGTAACAGACTATACTACCTGAATTTCTGAGATGAGGTAATGGTAATATTAGCCATTTTTTTTTATCATTTTACCCCAAGCAAGGCAATAAAGCCACTAAGACATA